GTTGAGAATGCCCTACTGGTATAAAGGCAGACAGAGATGCATGGCTTCCCATAGATAGGAAGGAGCTCTGAATGTGTCTAGGGGTGGGCTTAACTTTATAAATGGAAAATGGATGACTTGGAGTCCATCTGGCTTGGTGCAGTGGAGACAAACTGGATTTGACCTTAACAGTTTGGGTTTTTATGTTTAAGGGGATGTTTAAGGATCATGCTGGAGTAAAAAGAACCCTGGATAACTACTCCAGTCCTGAGTTCAAGCCTCAATTCTATTAAGGAGTTGTGTATGTGACACTGAGCTAATCAGGAGGTCTTGGGTTGAGGGAAGGAGACAACAATGAATTGAACTGGGAATAAATCAATCAACAAACATTTATTAAACCCGCTGTTATATACCAGGCACTGTAGTAGGTGTTGAGTAAAAAGTAAAAATATGAAATAGTCTCTGCTCTCAAGGAGTTTATAGTCTATGGAGGAAAGATAATACGTGCATATATAAATATATGCCAAATAGATACAAAAATACAAAGGAAGTTGATTGGAGGAAGGGGGGACTAAGATCTGTATGGATTCGGAGCAGCTTAGGAGGTGGTGTTTTAGTCAAGTTTTGAAAGAAACTAGGAATTCTGAGAGACCAAAGTAAGGAAGGAATGAATTCCAGGTATGGAGAACATCCACTGGTAGGCCAAGGAAACGGCCTAGATGAAAGGAGAAAGTCTTCCAAGGCCAGTGCAATGAAAAGCCTTTGAGTGCTGAAGCCTGACAACATTGACTTTTGGGCCTGGGGGCAAAAATCCAAAAACCTGAATCTGAGACTGAATCCATCATTCCATCTACAATTCATTTTTGAAGGAAAAGCTGAAAAGGCTGCCTATGTTTGGAACTGTAATATTCACTCACTATCTTGGTGCTTAATGGAGAATCCTTTTTAAGATGGTAAAAATGGAGAGATTTTGATGTTAATTGCAAGCTTTAATTGTAAAGGATTTCAAGAAAACTTGGAGCCTTGGTTTTCTTGCTTTGTACAATGTACTCAGCTATTAAAAAAAAGAAGAAATTGAGAGACAGTGTGGTGTAATGGTTATAGCACTGGATAGGGAAGTAGGAGACCTAGTTCTGCCACTAACTGTGTGAGCTTGGGCAAATCATTTTTCTTCTATGGACCTCAGTTTACTTATCTGTAAAATAAGGGAAATGGACTACATGAGCTTGAAAAACTTTCAGCTCCAAATTTCTATGATTCATGATGCCTCTCAGCTGAGGATCTGAGCTCATAATCTCACCCCCATTCTCTCCTCCTTTGCTCCAAACTCAGAGCAAGAGGGGGCACTTTTCCTCATCACAGTGAATGCCTATAGTTACTTGTGCCTTTAATCTTCTCTCCTCCCATGCTTGTGGAATTGAATCTTTTCTCTTTCCTCCAACAGCACATTCCCCTCATCATCATTTTATTCTAATCTTTAATTTCCCTTTATCTGACTCCTTTTCTGCTGTCTACAAATAAACCCAAGTCTCCCCCATCCTTCACCTGATTTTGCTATCCTCTCAACCTAACATCCTACATCTTTTCTCTAACAACCAAACTCCTAGGGTGGAAAAAACAAACAACCGTCTAGACCAATTGGATTACTTACTTTGTTTTGCACACACTTGGTTGCTGTCCTTCATGTTCAAAGAGAACACTTTGGGGTCAAGGTACAGTGTGTCTGACTGTGGCTGATCAGACCAATGTGAGCTCTGAATGCTTTACCACTCATCAGGCACTAATGGTCTATACCAACATTTGGAGTGGAGATGCCTCTAAAGTTGCACATCTCATGTTTCTTTTGAGCTACTGTAGTCTTGCTTTGCTTATAGAGCATAGCATCTTCTTTGATTCGGGCATGCCATGCTGGGTGGTCCTGTGCCAATGTCTTCTATATATCACAATCAATTCCAAAATTCTTCACAAATTGAGAGTGTGCTTGTATCACTTTTTCTGACCTCCATGTGTACACTTGCCTTGTGTGAGTTCTCCATAAAACAGTCTTTTTGGCAAATGTATGTTTGGCATTTAAACAACATGGCCAGCCCATCAGAGATGTACTCTCTGCAGCAGAGTTCAAATGCTTGACAGTTGAGCTCTAGAAAGGACCTCAGGACCTTTACTTACCAGGTGATCTTCAGAATCTTCCTAAGAATTCAAATGGAAGTGATTGTTTCATGGCATGGCACTGGTATACTGTGCAGGTTTCATAGGCATACAAGAATGACGTCAGCACAAGGGCTATGTAGACACATTCAGTTTGGTAGGCGGCCTAATACCTCTTTTCTCCCACATTTTCCTTGGGAGTCTCCCAAATATTGGCAATGCCTGCTTCAACATCATCAGCTATGTGTAAAACCCTAAAAAAGTATACTAACAAGGTAAGTCTTACACATAATAGGTGATTAATAAATGCTTTTTTGGATATATTGTGCTCAGTAAATACACTTTAGATGCATACTTTTAATATAAAGAAAAAATACCCAATCCCTCTATCCTTCCTTCAATTACAGGACTCCAGATGGCAAAAATCTAGCTTTACAGTCTGAGATCACCACCAATCTCATTTGAATAACAGTTTAAATGGGTTAGACTTAATTTAGTAATATTTAGCACTTACTTTCTTCAAAGCACTTTGCAATCATGCAGTAATCAGCATGGTTCCTTTGAAAGGGAAAGAAATTTAATCTTTTTTTTTTCAGATGAGAAAACAAAACCTAGAGGAGTGGGTTGTACCTTCTGCTTATATAGTGTCAGACCTTTGGACTCGATTCTTATCACCCTATCTTTCCTCCTGGAACTGAAGTGAGGTGTCATTTGCCTTGGTCAGGCAGAAGTGTCAGGGCCATAGAAAAAGGGTAGATTTTAAGTATCATTAAATTTTAGATCCAGAAAGTTTGAGTTTAATACCTTCATCATGGACAAGAAAATACTAAATCATGCAAGTTTTGTGATTGACCTGATGTCAAATAGCTAGTTAGTGGCAACAAGCTGGTAAATGTCCGCTCCATCAAAGAGACTATTAGTCTATTGCAGTGGTGGGGAACCTGTGGCCAGGAGGCCACATGTGGCCTTCTAGGTCCTTGGGTGTGGCCTTTTGGCCAAGTCTAAGTTTTACAGAACAACTCCTTTTATTAAGGTGATTTGTTCTGTGAAGTTTGGATTTGGTCAAAGGGCCACACTTGAGAACCTAGATGGTCACCTGTGGCCTTGAGGCCCCAGGTTCCCCACCCTTGGTCTGGTGCTCTTTCCTTAATACCTTATTGCTCCTCTCAAATAACTGTCACCCCATTTTTCAGGAAGCAGTTTTTTGGGGGCTGCCCCTTAAGCACATTTCCCCCCTCAGGAAAGGTGAAAGACTGCTGGCATCCAACAAAATGTTTACAAATTCATCCAGTAAGGCCTTGTTCAAGACCTGTTCAAAAGGAAATAAATTTGGATGTAAGCCGCCAAATCTCTATCACTTGGAGCCTGATTTTGCACTATGTAGATTGTTCACAATTCCTGTTTTCTCTTATTCTTTATCACTTGCCTTTTGCCAATTTCATTATTTAAAAAAAAACACAACTCTGACCCAGCAATGGAAGGAGCACAAGGCTGGACATCTCTCTGTGGCTGACCACTTGTTGCAGCTGTTTTGTACAGGAAATCCATACTTCACTATTCTTTTACAGCGTCTGGAAAGGGGTTGAATGGAAAAGCCAAAATAATAACATTGGGGGATTACATTTGATCCCTGTTAGTTTTTGCCCAGGGAAACTGAGATTTTAACTTTGATTTTTTTAAAAAAATCCCTGATAAACTAGTGTTATAGGAAGATATAGGTTTAAGGTATCTGTTTCACCAGCTACAACATCTCCTACCAGTCTGTGAATCAGATTGGAATAAAGGTAGTGTAGACCTATAAGGTTCTATTTCAACCAAAGAGGGAAGAAGGAGGGAACTAAAAGAGAAGAGAAATTGATGGGGGAGGGGGTGAGGAGGGAGTAGGAGAGAGAGTAAAGGATAGAGAAAGAAACCCCCTAATTGCAAGACTTTCTGAGCAAGATATTTTTCTTCCTTTCCCAAGTTTGAAGGCTGCTGAATAATTCATGAAAAGCGTGGAAAGGCTGAATTTACCTAGGGTGGTGAATAACTGAACAGGAGTGAGCTGAGCAAGAGAGGCTGTATCACATCAGCCACCACTCCTGCCTCTCAGCCCAGGGTGCTCTACAGCTCTCAATTTGCTTTTCAACAAGCTTCTACTCTCTGCTACTGTGATTGCAGGAGCTTGCTTGCCTGGGTGGGTCTCCAGCCTGCTAAAAGTCAGATAGTCTTCCCCCTGGCACTGCTGCCAGCTGGGAAGCTCCTCCTTGCTTATTGCTACTGCTGTTGCTGCCAAGCCTTGGACCATGTGCCCAGTTCGTGAGTATTGGCGATGCTCCTGGCACTGATTCCAATGGAACTTCTCTGATGGCATTTTCCTGGGACCATAGGTGCTGCTGTTGCTACAAGGTGCTTTGGAAGATCACTTCTTCTGTTACCGTTGGCACAGGACCAGCCTGAGAGCAAGGTATCTCCTATCCCTCCACCCCCACTTCCACCCCAACATTCCATCTGGGCATTTTTCCCAGCTGGGATATACCTGCTGGCTCCTGGAAGTGGGTACTCCAGCTGGAATCATTTCCAACTGGAAGGAGGAAGGCTATTTTTGCTACTGCTGCTGTCTGCCCCTACTGAAAGCAGGAACTCTTTTTCCTTGCTCTGGGGACATTTCTGAAGCAGGTACCTGCTACCAGAAATTAAACTCACCTACCACATTCCAATCTTTCTGCCCCTCCCCAGATCTCTACCTAAAGTCCATTCTTCCACAGCCTTTTGATCTGGGCGATAGAGGGTGGACCTCCACCCTTGTTGGCCCTACAGGACAGTGTCGGGTGTAATGGAGCCTTCAGAAAGAAGTCAAAGTTAAAGAGCTGGGTGTGAAGGTGGAAGCCAGCATGACCAACAGCTCCTCCACGTCCACCACCACCTCCACTGCCGGGGGGTCGCTGCTACTGCTGTGCGAAGAGGAGGGCTCGTGGGCAGGACGCAGGATTCCCGTGTCCCTCCTCTACTCGGGCCTGGCCATCGGGGGGACGCTGGCCAACGGCATGGTCATCTACCTGGTGTCATCCTTCCGAAAGCTCCAGACCACTAGCAACGCTTTCATTGTGAACGGCTGCGCTGCTGACCTGAGCGTGTGCGCCCTCTGGATGCCGCAGGAGGCCGTATTAGGGCTGCTGCCCAACTCCTCGCCCGAGCCTCCAGGGGGGTGGGATGGCGCTGGGGGCAGCTACCGCCTTCTGCGGGGCGGGTTGCTGGGCCTCGGCCTCACCGTGTCCCTCCTATCCCACTGCTTGGTGGCCCTGAACCGCTACCTGCTCATCACGCGGGCGCCCGCCACCTACCAGGTGCTATACCAGCGGCGCCACACGGCAGGCATGCTGGCACTGAGCTGGGCCCTGGCTCTGGTGCTTGTGCTGCTGCTACCTCCCTGGACAGCGCCGGCAGGTCGCGTGCCCCCCGAGGTGCACTACCCAGCGCTGCTGGCCGCTCTGGCGCTGCTGGCTCAGACCGCGCTGTTGCTGCACTGCTACCTGGGCATAGTGCGCCGGGTGCGGGTCAGCGTCAAGCGGGTCAGCGTGCTCAACTTCCACCTGCTGCACCAGCTGCCGGGCTGTGCCGCGGCCGCGGCCGCCTTTCCAAGTGCTCCTGGCCCCCCTCACCCGCACCCAGTGCCCCAGGCAGCCGCAGCTGCGGCTCAGCCCCTGCCGCCCACTCTGCACCCGCGCCGGGCACAGAGGCGCCTCAACGGGCTGTCAGTGCTGCTGCTCTGCTGCGTCTTTCTGCTGGCCACGCAGCCCCTCGTGTGGGTGAGCCTGGCCAGCGGCTTCTCGCTGCCTGTCCCCTGGGGGTTGCAGGCGGCCAGCTGGCTCCTGTGCTGTTCTCTATCCGCCCTCAACCCGCTGCTCTACACCTGGAAGAACGAGGAGTTCCGCCGTTCAGTGCGCTCGGTCCTGCCCGGCATTGGGGACGCGGCTGCTGCTGCCGCCGCCGCCACTGCTGTACCAGCCGTGTCCCAGGCACAGCTGGGCACCCGGGCCGCTGGCCAGCACTGGTGACGCGGTTGCCAGGGCAGCCTAGGCGACGGAGGAGAGGTTGTCCGACTTCCAACTCCCAGGCCGCCCCCTCCTCCAAAGCATCACGTCGCTGGAGGAAGAAGACTCATGATATATACTGCAATAAAGCTGACAAGAGAAACTTCATCCAGCTCTCACTGGGACAGGCAGGATCGTCAGCTCCCTCACTCTCAGAACGCGAAAGGGATGGGGTGGGGTGGGGGTGTCCGGGGGAAAAGAAAACTCACTTTCTTCTCCAAATCGTTCAGTTCGGTCCATTGACTGTTATTACCCCTTAGACTGCTGGTAGGGGGAAACGGGACCCCCAAGCTGGCAATTTAAACACCCATGCGAACTTCATTTTAAACCATAAACTTCGTACTAGTGCTCAACTCCCCTTTTCCTTTTGGATCACTAACCGTGATAAAAGTACCTTTATTTTCTCCTTCATTGTTTAATATCTTACTAGAAGCCCTGGGTGTGCATGGGGCAAAGATTCTTTATGCTATATGATTTAGGAGATACCTGCTAACTTTGATTTGGTCTTTGTTCATTTATCCAATGTATTTTATTAGCCCACAGTAGTGCAGGAGCAGAATTTTGCAAAATATGAGTTATCTTTAAGGTTCTTCTGTAAGACTTTGCTTCAGAGATGGCAAAGTCCCTCCTCAATGAGATTCACTCAGCTAGTGAAGAAATCAAGAATTCGATCCTTTTAATAGCTTTTTGCATTCCTGGATCTAGGAGGTGTCATTAGATATTAAATCGACATTTGGTAAGCTGAGAGTTTATTGTAGGAGCCAGCAACAGTATGCACTTGTGAAAACAAATGAGGGGGCTTTTTCATTTAGGAAATGATTTCATGGTTTCTATAGCATGCACCAACTCATTGCAACCAACATCTTGTAACAGTTCTATTTGCCTTCCAAGTGTGATTGCTGTTTTGTTTTGTTTTTACATTCTGTAATTTAATGGTTGCTAAGGAGAGTAAGAATTTCTGTTGTATGCTTAACATTAAAAATATCTCAATGCACACGATATAATTAAACACTCATAGTACAATGACTTCATAGCTAAACTTAGCAGTTATTGCATGCTCCTAAGTGTTAGAACTTATGGAGAGTGCAGGTAGTGGATCAAAGGCTATACCCGACTAGACATGGGCCACTGGACATTCTACTTCTTCCAGAAGAAGAAGCCTTTCCTTCAGGACTACAACCCAAAAGGTTCATCTCTGATTACACAGGGCTCTTCTTATCCTTTCTTATCGCACAGGAAAAAAAAATCTGGTTTGATATTTGTAGACAGAGTAGTTAGCAAGATGAACCAGTGACATGATTTGGTTTCTACAAAGTCATCTGTGTGCTTGGGGTTTGGAACACTGGATAGCAACAAGTTGACACTGGTTTCAGTTTAGTACTCATAATACCCTGACAAGTATCATTGTGCATGTGTATACAAGGACTTATTAACTCTGTCATATGAAGAATGTAAAGTGCAAATGGAAGTCAAAATAGCATCTTTGAGATTTATAATTTTAGCAAATCTCCTATTTGTGAAATTATTTTGAAATGGCCACTTGCTATGTAGGAGCAAATAAAATCACTCTTGGGGATTAAAATGGAAACAAAGTCATAGTTCTGTTTTTTTTTTCATTTTAAAAGTAATGCTATATCACTATTTGGGCAACCAGTTACATCAAGTCTAGCCCCACAGTAGCCATAATTGCCCTAGTAATACAGACAAAATCCTTTCCTTTGCTTAGCATCTGAGGGAGGCATAGAGGTATCTTAGACAAGTGGCTAACCAATGAAGAACCAGGCTCAGTTTCAGTCTACTACATTAACTTCCTGGTGGATCTGTTCTCAGTTGGCTTCTTTATGGCATCATAGCCTCCAGACATGGATTTCTGCTACCAAGTGTATGGACTTTTTGTCTGAATTATGGGGGTGATTGTGACTGTTTCTATGGCTGTACAATAATTCTTTCATTCTTGGGTAGATCAGTAATCACACATCTGACCTCACTGAGGTATGCACTTCCTCCATAAGTGCAGATCACACCCTCCCATAACTTTTGTAACTCTTGTCCCCCATCCTCGCATAAATACTCCACAGGGGTTCTAGTGTGCATCTTAGAGGGATACTAGTAAATGTATTTTTTTCTTTTTCATGTGGAAAAGTTGTTCAAATTCTAAATAAGGACTTTTGTGGCTTAGGATATTATGAGAGTTATTGGAAGAATTGACTTATTTGTAGGGGAAAATCCATAGCTCAGATGCATTAAGAGAAAAGTCTGTATAGCAGAGATGCATTAAAAGAGTCAGCTAATTGACGTTTTATTGATCTAGCTATCTTGTGCATGCAGCAGTTTTCTAAGGTATCACATTTTCTCACTTGAAATGTGTGATTAAAGTTCAGACTACAACTCCTTGGACTACTTTTTGTCTTATTTTCTTTATCTGCTTTCAGAGACACTACTGTACATTGTCTTTCTATTTGAAATGACTGATTTTGTGGAAGGCCTTTGGGTTTGGGAGCTCACTATCCACCAACCAACTGAAAAAAACTCATCTGTGACTTAGATAAATTCCAGGCAACTTTATGCCTCAGGCACAGAGAAGTTGACACTTATCCAATGATATGCAACCAGTAAGCATTAAAAAGCAGAATTTAAATACAGATTTTCTTGACTTTAAGTCCTTCATTCTATCCACTGGGCCGTGCATTTTTTCTTCTTGATTTGACTTCTTCCATCAACACAGATCAGCAACCTATCTGTAATTTACAACTATAAAGAAGTGACTGAGGCACTGAGGGCTTAAGTATCATAGCCAATGCAGGTGTTGAACCCCAGGGCTTCTAGCCTCTTTGACCAGCTTCTTGACTCCAATTTTACAGGTTGCTTCCCTTAGTCCATGTTCCTCCAATTTTATACTACATGACATTATGGTGATTAGCACTAACAATGATTAAGCAACTTCTTGGTGTCCTTACTTATTTTTATTTCTAGTTTCCAAAATTTGTCACATTTCAGATCATCTCCTGAGCCATACTCTCCTGAAAATCATCCTCTTCAATGTTCACTCTTGCCAGACACAAATGTAATTTTCAAGATTTGTTTTCTGCAAACCATTAGAATCTTTGCCATAAAGATGTAATAAGTCATCAAGAATAGTCAATTTCAAGATACTTCCTATTGCCATAGGAAGATGCTAATAGACATTGTTATAAGTATTGCCAGTTTTTCATGTTAGAATTAATTTATGTGAGATTCACGAAAGCCTGTGAATACAATATGAATGCTGGAATACAAGAGGTATAAGTATAAGTGTGGTCAAGGAAACATGCTAGGACTCTGCTCCTAGGGTTGGTAGATATTGTTTTTATTCTCTTCCCTCAAATTTCATATCTAGAAACTGAACATATCTGAGCATCAGGCTCAGACCTTAGCCCAGAAACAGGTCTTGATTTTGGCAGACCCTTTACCCAATGGATATCTTTTGAGGCTCTTTTTCTCCCCCTCATTTTCCACTGTGGTCACTGCAAAGCCATCCTGTTTGTCTTCATGCTTAGGTTTGGCATGTGAGTAGCTTTCCACTCAATTGGCACCCCATTTATTGTAGTATGGAGAAGTTTAACATTGAGTCTCTCCCTCCACTAGCCCAGCCCCATTGGTGAGACCTACTCTGAGGTTTATAGGTAATTAGCTCTGCAGGACTGCTTTTACTTGTAATTTAAAAGCAACCCATGAAGTGCCTGGAGTTGTCTTAACAGCTAAGAGCTGGCAAGTGTTTAAGCTGCTGCTATTAAATACTGTTAATGGAAGCTATTTTTTTTTTCTTATTTAAATGAAACCATGTATTATCCACAGGGGAAGAAAATATCCTAATGACTATCGTGGGTTGTCCTTTTCCTTCACTTTGTTTTTCATGACTATAAGACTTAGTTACTACTCTCCCCCTCACTCCCACTCACCCACCTTCCAGAAGCAAGAGTGACAACAATCACATATTCTTCCTTATAAAGAGCTATCCAGTGTTGAGTACTTATTTTACACCATATGGAGGTATCCAGGAATGGACAAGTCATAGTGTGTGGTGGGTGGGATGAGGGCTGGTAATTTTTTCCTGACAGGGTCATTTATAGGCACTTATATTGGTTGGCAGAATATTCTTCTCCGGAGAGGCAGTAGGGGAAATCAAGCTCTAGCAAACATGGGATCAGATTTATAGCTAAAAAGCATCTTAGAAGTCATTTGCAAAATAAGGGGATTGGAGTAGATGACCTCTGAGGTCTCTTCCAGCTCTGCATCCATGACTATCTTATTATCTAGTCCGACGTTCCCGCGTAGTTTTACCGATAATGAAAAAGAGGCCAAAAGAGGTTAAGTGACGTGCCTAATTTAAATCAGGAAAATGGACAGCACCAGCATTTAAAATGAGATTATTTGTCTCCAAATATAACCCTCTGGGACTAGCTATCCTATACATGTGCAATTGATTTTTTAACCCAATTGTGAGGCTTAATATTTATCCCTACTAAATTTCATCATCTCAGATTTGACTCTTTTGTTCTATCCTTATTAACTTTTTGGTTCCTAACTCTGTGATTCAACATTTTAACATGTTTTGGCACCTTTTTTAAATCTTCAGATTTGATTAGTATGACATCTATACTTTTCACTTATGACAATGATAAAATATTGAACAGCACAGGACTGAGAGACACCTAGTGCATTCTACTAGATACCTCCAAATGTGTTGACATTGATGCATTAATCACTACTCTCTGATGCTAGCCATTGAATCAGTTGAACAGGTTGCCCTGGGAGGTAGTGAGTTCCCCCTCGCAAGAGGTCTTCAAGCAAAGTATGATCATCTGTTGGGGATGATATAGAAGGGATTCTCTTAGTAGGATTGGAATTGATGACCTCTGGGTCATTGCAATTGAAATTCTTTAATATTATCATCTAGCTCACGTTTCTCCTTTTTGCTCACAAGG